CGCGGAGGAGAAGAATTGTTGAATAAATCACTGTGACGTATTGCATCAAAGTACTGTGAGAGCGATTTGAGAGCAGTCCGCTGAATCATAGACATATACAATACATAGACCCCCTATTTGGCCACTGAATTGTACATCAGTGGCACCACCATACTGGTCTGGGCAACTTGCTGTAACTCTCATTAGTGGACTGAAAAAAGATGCCTTCCTCTGAGCTAGAGAGGATGACTACTTTGAGGTTTCACAAAATGTCACACAATCCAAACCAGATTTCAGGGAATTACCTTTAACATTTAAGTCTGAACAGTTGTTTCTGGTTGTATTTGGTCATTATGACATTATGTTGACAGCTAGTTGGCCACCAAAGTCATACTGTTAATAGCTAGCATTAACACTAGTTAACTATAAAAAATGAGACTTCATAAGAAATAATATAATAACATAACGTTTACATGATTCTTATGAAGTCTGAGATTATAACTTAGTTTATATGATGAACTAATCTAAATTGCAAACAAGTCTTCCGTGCAATATAGACAGTATGAACTACTTTTGGAATGGATTACTTTTGAGATGGATGAATGGATGCACTTTTTTGGCCTTCAAAATTGTGAGTGCCATTCACTACCATTATAAAGCTTGGAAGAGCCAGGATATTTTTAGATATAGGTCAGATTATGTTTGTATGAAAGACACCTATATGGTGGTTTGAGGGTGAGTAAATCATGGACAGTTTGTGGGTGAACGATCCCTTTAAGGATTGCCTTATAATTAAGGGTCCAAGCTGTGATATTAATGTTGTCCACTAGAGTGATCTTAGATTAGGAGATAAGCAATATTTTAAGACTAATCATTTTCTATCTGTTTCCATCTATTTGTATAGAAATAAATGCATTTAGTAATTTGTATACAGTAAATATGGTGTACTGACAGAAAATCTGTGAAATGCTTACATATAATTAAATGCTTCACTTTTTTTCACACCAATAAAGTAAATTTTTCAAGTTGCCAGACACAAATAAATATAATGCTGTTCATTTAAAATGAAGAAAATGTTTGCCTGTTTTACTATAATATAACATTTCTAAAGGACATTTATTGTTGTGTTATGTATAATAATAAAAAACACATTTGTGTGTAACGCTGCAAGCATAAGGTTAGAAATAAATAAAAACATGAAAAGGGCCTTAACATAAATGCTTCAGATAAATAAGGTTTTGAGCTGCAAATTATCTTGACATTCATTTTAAAGTGTCCTGTGACATCCTATTATGTAATTCAAGAGAAAAAGCTAAAGGCACAAGAAAAAAAACTAAAAAAACGGTGTTGAAGACAGAAAAAGCAATTTCCACCATTAAAAATTGTGTGTACATTTCATGTACAATATTTATTACATTGCATTGTGAAATACACCTGTTATGCAATAATAAGTGCTTTCTTCGGTTACTCCTTTATGTAAGCATAGCTTTCCGCCATAAGTAGATGTCATCAGGTGGTTCCCAACCTTTCTTGAGTGTTTCGACCCTTACCACAACACTCTCCAGTTGGTGGGTCGGCAGTGGTGGCTAAGTCACTGCCCATCTGCTCATGGCTTCCAGCTTTCTTCCTCTCTCTTACTCCATATCCAGCATGAAGCTCGCTCAGCCTCATCTCCCATGCTATGAGCAACATGTTTCTTGCTTTCTGATCAGCCGCCATACTGATTGGGCAGAAAAGCCTCTACAACCTATTTCCACAAGAAACAGCCATGCCTGCCATCTTTTGTCTTTACACTCCTGAATTAAGCACTAATGCTTCAAGGCCTTCCTCTCGTGAGCCTCCTCGCAGCCCTCCTTCCATGGCACAGTCAGCTCAATTAAGATGATTTTCCAGTCTTTGGCTAACCACAAGACGATGTCTTGGTGAAGAGCTGTGTGAACCACTTCCGGGAACTGCAGCTTCCTTCCAACGTCGACTCTCATTTCCCAAGAGCCCGCGGCCTGCAGCAAGTTTGATTTTGCTAATGCCCTAATTGCGATGGGTCTGGCTCCCTCCTTAATGAAAGTGACAGTTTCCTTGCCTGTGCCGCCTAGCCTCTTCATGCACCTCTCACGTGTGTATCGGCGACGGACAAGAGCACACCTGTATCAACTTTGGGTTAAAGATGTCTTACACCCTGACAATATGTGTGCCAGTGTTCCTTTTTGACCACAAAGCTTGCAGTACGGGTCATCCCTCAACCCCCATGTGTGCAGATGTGACGGTGAAGGAAGAGTGTCATACACAGAGCGCAGTAGGAAGGAGATGTGGTAGGGCTCCAGTCTCCATAGCTCTGCCCATGTGATCTAACGCTTGGGCAGATCCCATTTTGTCCATGCTCTCTTGGATGCTTGTTCCACTGCTCTGGACACACGCCTCTGCTCCACTTGAGCTTGGATTTCTGCCTGAACCATGCCTCACCTGATCGTAGTGCTTGCATTCCCAAACTGTTGGAAATGTGTCGACCCCAGGCCAGACCTTCTGTGCAGGTGTTGCCAATGATGTCGTGCACCTTTAATGAGCTTTCTGCCTGTTCAATGGCTGCATTGACTGCCCATTTATGGCCTGATATTGTTGTGATGCCTGCTTGCTTTACCCAGGCATCTTTAGAATCTCTCAGACTTAGCGCGACTCAGCATTTTGCCACCTTGAACTCCTCCACAACAGATGACAAAGGGAGTTGCAGCGGTCCTGATCGAATGTAGAGGCCCACTGAAGAGAAGCTTGGGGGAATCCCCAACCACCTCTGCAGGTGCTTATTAATTTTTCTCTCAATGCCATCCACAACTGTTAGAGGGAACTCATAGACTGTGAGGAGCCAAATAAGCCTGGGCAGAAGGCCATGCTGGTACAGCCAGGATTTAAATTTTCCAGAGAGTCCGGACCTGTCGATCTTCTTCAACCACTCTTCTGTTTGCCTCACAGCATCTGCAACATTGGCACCATCTTTCAGTGATGCATTGAACCACTTCCCCAAACTGGCTGTCCCCAATTGATGGAATGACCTCGCCTTGAACTTGGAGGCCAGACTTATGTTATTAATTATTGTGGAGACATCCCTAACTCAAACTCTAATGGAGTTAAATTATGGAGTTAATTTAATAAAAAAAAATTTTTTTGCTGTGCAATGAGTCTGAAGGCCTTGATTAGTTCAAGTCTGTTTAATTAAGGTTAAACTGTGCAGAACAGTGGCCCTTCGGGAGCAGGTTTGGGCACCCCCACCCTATAGGTAAAATATTTATAGAATCGGGGGCACTCAAAAAATTGTCTGGCATTGTATTAAAGTAAAATTGTCACGGACAGAAGAGGAGAGACTCAGGTAAGTGCAACAGGGTTCTTTATTAAACAGGTTTTCAGTAGGAGTGAAGCGATGCAAGGCAGCAGGTAAGTATCTCATAATCTGAGTGGGTAACTTGGCTGGTAACAGAATTTAAACAATGCACCTTTTCCTTCCTAGGAGTGGCACATGGCGAAGACAGGAAGAAGGCTGGCAAAGACAGCAAACTTGCAAGGAGTCCAGAGACTAGCAAGGCATCCAGGTAAGTGATCTTGAAGTGAGATCAACGAGACTAGACAGTGCAAGGAGTGGATCGAGTATAAACACATTACCATGTTTATAGAACAAACTTGTTTGTGTTTATAGTGCATACTTCCGTTTTACCGGAACATTGTGTTCATAGTTTCTCTGCCTTCGTTTCAGATCTCATCCAACCACATTCCTAAACATAAACTTTCCTAAAAGTTCAGTGCTTGTTCTACTTTCTAAAAAGAAAAATGGAAGATTATTTAGATTATTTTAAGATTATTTTTCCACATTGTGCTTGTTTGTGTTGAAAAAGATGAATCGTTTTATAAATTATTTTTACTTAATCATAATTAATAATAGCATGATAAAATGAATATGTCACAGCTTCTATATTTGGATATATAGCATCTTTAAATGTTCACTATGTGATTCCATGTATTGATATAGTTGATATTTTCTATGTACATGATGAATCGATCTAGTGGACATCAGTGAGTCGCTCTCATGTTTGCCGCAGTCTCAATCATGATTAAGTTATGATATTGTGCCGTAACATAATTTATATTATTGTGTGGTGTAGTTTGTGATGCTAGTACTATTAGAACCAAATAAAGTAGAATGCAGAGTTCATAATCAGTTTACTGTATTTTAAACCACTTTGTCATCTAAACAGTGTAGTCATTAAACAAAAAAGTTACAGTTGTTTCCCCCCCCCCCCCAGGCTCTATCATTGTATTTGTATTTGTATCTATCATTATTCAACAGTCCAAAACACGTTAAATAAAGTGTGTACATCCGGGGGGTTGTGAATGAAGGCCTCCTGTAGCAAATCCATGCGTTTTTGTCAGAAAAATCTCCATATTTCAAACGTAATAAACACTTTTCTATCACTTCCGCTATCTGTCATACGCGGAAGCAGTTCCGGCAGATGGTGTAGGATGTCGGCATTGCGTGAATAGTGACGAACGCGGAGAGAGAACAAAACAAAATGCCGGTCATGAATTAGAAGCACAAAACGAGTATTTGTAAAGAAAAATGCCGGAGGATTTCGATATAAGCCAAGAGGAGACTTGTGAGACAAACTAATGAGACTAGCATATCTCAGAGGCGTGCGTGCGACGCATACGTTCTACGTCATCTGCCGGAATGCTTCCGCATACGACAGTCAGCAGAAGTGAAATAAAAGGGTGAGGTACGTTATATTATGGATGCGGACACTGTATTTAACTTGTTTTGAACTGTTAAACAAAAACACTACAATGATAGAGCTTAGAAGAGCTAGGACAATTTTTTATATAACTCCGATTGGATTCGTCTGAAAGAAGAAAGTCATATACACCTAGAATGGCTTGAGGGTCAGTAAAACACAGGCTAATTTTCATTTTTGAGTGAACTAACCCTTTAAACATAGGACTAAAGACTACAGGCTTCTCTAATTGCACAGAGTTAATGTTTTTGTCTTTGTGTCTATAGAGTTGCCCATCTGTCTCTCTCTCTGGATCTACAGACAGCTTCACTGTCAGTTCTCGTCCCAATTTTGATGAGGTAGTGAAGTCTGTCTCTCAGCTCAGAAATAAACTGCAGCAGTTCTGCACAGATGAAATAGAAATGTTATCTAAAACAGGTAATGCTGTTTTACTCTCAGAAAAGAGTTGAGAACTGTTCATTAAATATAAAATGGTAGTACTTTTTTTCTTGACTTGGGAATTAAAGGGTTTGCACTGATGCACAGATGTTCTTTGGTGTTAATAGTGAAAACCGTCCAGGTCATTGTCCCGAGTCATCAGCTTACGACTAGGAAGGAGTTCCTACAATGTGAGTTACAATGAAAATACACACAAACACTTGTGATCACTGGGAGACTTTCTGTGCTAATTGATGATGATCTTACCCGGGGTTCATTCCAGTAACACTCATGATGGAGGAGGTGCCTATGTTGCATAGCATGTTTGTGAATTTGGGGGTGGAGTTATTAAAATAAGGACGTGATCCTTTGGTAGGGGTGTGTTTGTTTTGATGATTTCAAATATCAACAGTGTTTTTTATAAATCACTTACTGCACCTTAAGTGCATTAAACGTCATGTGCCGCTATGTAGACCGATCGACTTGAAGCAGTGCATGCTGGTTAGAAAATTTGTCCAACTTGAGACGTGCCGATGCCATGTCACTGTGTGTGACGTATTCCATAAAAGTACCGCAAGAGTGATTCAATGTGTGTATTTCAACCTGATCTCATGGGAAGGTGGCTTATTCATACAAATTCGTACAAATTGATTTGCATATCATATGTGCCACTCTCATCAGTGTGGCATTCGCAAACAGTATATTGCTTGTCTCATATTTGGAATTTAATTTTACCCCTAAATGATTAACATAAGCTAGCTTTGATGTGAAATGCTCTTATTTGTCCCATGACAGAGTTTGAATTTATCTTTTGAATGAGATTTGACTGTGTTCATGGAGCAGAATTAAAATCAGCAGACAATATTTTGCATAGATCTGTACAGTAATATTAGTTTTTCATAAATTTGCAAGATGAATAACATTTTTTTTCACATAAAATAAGGAAATCAATGGGCTTTTTTATGATTGATCAATTACTTCAGTCAGTGTCAGAGCGACATGCCCAATTATAATTATTATGAAATGATGATACCAATGAAGAGACCCATTAATATGTTATATTATTGATGTAAAGTCGTGAGTAATTATGTATTTATCTTCATCAGATTCCCATCTGTTAACTCTGGATCTGAACTCAGTGAATTATTGGCTCCGTCTGTTTGAAGAAAACACAGTGATCACTTACTCTGACACACGTCTGCCGTATCCTGATCATCCAGACCGATTTGATTCTTGGACCATGGCGCTGTGTAGGGAGAGTGTGACTGGACAATGTTACTGGGAGGTGGAGTGGGCTGGTGTTGGGGGATCAGGAGTAGATATAGGAGTGATGTATAAGAGCATCAGCAGGAAGGGAAATGGTCCTGAGAGTGCAGTTGGATGTAACAATCAGTCCTGGAGGTCTCCAGACTACTGCTCATTCTGGCACAGTAACATAGAGACTAAACTTTCTGCAGTGTCCAGCAGAAGAATAGGAGTGTATGTGGATCACAGCGCAGGTTTTTTTTTCCTTCTACAGGAAGGAAAAAACTGACACAATGAGTCTCATCCACAGAGTCCAGACCACATTCACTCAGCCACTGTATGCTGTGTTTGGGTTTGATAGACAGACAGCGGTGAAACTGTCTAGACGATTAAACAATCCAGATGTTTTACATATTCTTAATCCAGATATTCTACAGGCTTTTTTACTTCGCAGAATGATGATGTCATGAGGCGTATCTTCCACTACTGAATGAGCTAGATATTTTCAAAGGGTTTTCAAACTTCTGTATGTCAAAAGCTTTGTATTTTCCTGTATGTTCATAATACACAAATCTGTCATTTCTCTTTTGCTGACTCAGTTTGTTTAAAAGAAATTGTTTAGTTTCTGCATTAGCCTACTGGAACATTGTGTGCATAGTTTTTTCTGACCACAGTTAAAGACATCTCCAACATCTCGTCCAACAGGATTTGTCGTTTTCTGAAAGCTCAATGCTTCTGCTACTTTTAGATCATCAGATTTTTCAGGCTGTTTTTTGTGCACTATTATCTCTCATATAATGTAGAAAAAATAATTTGGCATATGTACACATTTAAAATGGTATCTTCTGATAGGATTTATTGTAATATTGTATTGTATTTTTTTTGATGATGATGATGCATCAACCATTAAATTATTCATTTTTATCCTTCAGTTCTGCTGACTCTGTACACACTACACAACGGATCGGCAACAGGGGCTCACAAATTACACAACTTTTCAAAAGGAAGAATCACTTACAACTCTGCATTGTCCACAAATGATGTTTTATTAACAAAGTTTAGGAGGAGCACATTCAGATAATCAACCAATTCAACAAAGGTGAAGCATGTTCAGACAAGCAACTTAATTAGTAAATATATACAGCAACATACCTCTGTTCCATGACAGATTTTCCAGCATCCCTCCTCCACCCCAACTCCTCATTCCTAACTATTCCTATCCCAGCTTGGGGATTTGGGGGAGTTCTCTGGGTTCGGCCTAAATTTGGAGCTCGGAGTCCTCCCCTTGGACAACAAGCCAAATATGCTTACTATTTGGTCAATCTGATTATATGTGAGTGCAAATTCATGAAACTATATTTCACAACCAAACACATAACATGCGCGAGAATGGATTTATTCCTGTCAAAAACAGTAGCCCACAAAAAGCTTGGAATCCAAGTTGTCTGTACACTGATTAGCAGTGAAAAATAAAAAAATTGAAGAAAAAAAAACAAAGAAGAATATGAAGGAGAGAATGGCTGATTGATGATGTTCTGTTGCAGGTCTATTATGACTCCTCTCCCTGAACTTTCCCTTGCCCTCTATCTTGCTCTCTCATTGGCTGTGGGTCGTTGCTGGCTGTACAGTAGGTCGTTGTCGATGCCATTTCCAGTCTAAACACATTACACACTGCAGGACTGTGAATCCCCGATGAGTCCATATGTGGCCAGAGGTATAAATACAGCATGTTTCCAATGTGTGTTGAAACTGTGTATGGCCCCTTTAAGAGATCGCCGATCTCTGCTTGCGAGATTTCCTGTTCGCATGTGCGTGACCGGAACAGCCATTTTGATATAATCCGATGAAGCAGCCGGGTGCCATGTCGTGGTGTTGGCATCGGGACGATTTATTTTGAAATGATGCTGTTTTTCTGGGTAAATATTACTGTAAACCCTTTCTTTGATATCCGTGGGAACCAGAGACCTGTTTGTGTGAACTTTTGATGTTTAATTCTCGGTAGATGAGATCGGTTCGTGTGTGATCCGCGTGAACCTCGTGTCGGGTATAGTGGAAATTTCCAGTGTAAGTTCAGTATTTCTTGTTCAATTCATGTGTTACTATCTGGAATTGTACAAATGCTATCAATCCTGTTAAAACGCTTGTTTTAATGTTTAACAATGTATGTTCATGTGAAAAATGTGGTTATTGTGAGAGCAAAGATGAGATGACTTTATTAATGTGTTTCTTTTATCTCTTCTTTGTACCATAGCACTATCGTATTCTTTACTGTGTCAGTACCTTATTTTTTGCCGTGTTTGTATAAGGTTTCAGTATTTTGGTGAAGCAAAGAAAGGATTCTTTCGTACTTCGTCTATATGGCCTGGTCAAGTGTGTAAGATAACTTTTTGGTTGTGCTCACTCCAGAGTAATTTATTTGGGAGTGTGTGTGTGTGTGTGTCGTACTGGTTTTCAACCAGTGTTTTTCTGTTATTAATCACTGTCTAAGATCTTGTTTTTGTTACACCGGAATTGGTGAAACATTGCGTTATTTGTTTCTTCCTGTAAGTTTTCATTGTAATATTACACTTTGTAATTATTATAGAGTAACTTTTGAAGAATATTTGGAATTTAGTAATTTTCTTATTTTTCCTATTGTCTTGCGTATTATTATTTTATTTTTTGCTCAGTGGTGTTCCTGCCGACCGCTGTAAATTCTTTTAAGTAAAAAACAGCAGTCAGATAAAACCCCTATACAAACAAATTAATCTGCCGTGTGTTTCTTTTTCCTGAACACCCGGTTACACATATATTTAGCATGCCAAATATCTCATGGGTATTTGCGATGTGTGGGTGCTTCTGTCAGATCACGTCTTTGATAATACAAACTGTGCGATTGTCACTTGCGTAAACAAGCACAGATTTGTTGACGCTGATGGCCTTGAGGTTAATGTGACCCATGTTTGATTCCTGACTTGTGGTCCATTGCTGATCCTGCTTTCCACTCTGTCATATTCTTTTCTGTCATATCTACACTGTCATACCAACAATAAAGGTTATTTTTTTTAAATAAAAAAAACACAGACTTGTCTCCAAGTTCGGGCATTTGTCTGCGATTTCCACAAAACTGTCTGTCAGTGAAAATCGGGTCTAAAACCATGCTGTGCGAACCTGGCATTAATCTCATAAAAGCAGCAAGTTGCAAATAAGCCACTTCTTGTCAGAAGCCAATAGCAATCGTTAACACAAAGGTTTAGGCGCCGCCCCTGAGTGGCGAAACTGACTCTTGACTTGTGCATGAAGAATTTCAGCTCCTGCATCTGTTCTGATCTGTGCACGCATGCAGAACTGAACTTGTGTTTGTGGTCAGTTCTGTGTGTGCTTGACCTGTCAGGGCTTGCTGCTTTGTTGTACATTTTACATGCAATCTTTTGTCACTGTGCTCACACTGCTGTAATTTACTTGTGTGCTGTGTTCGTTCTAGCTTCTACCATCTTGAAGGAATCCCTTGCTGTATTCCTCAAGTGCAAGCTGCATTAGAGGTATCTGTCAAATGAGTAAATGTAAAATGTAAATGTAATTGCACATATGTCTGAAGTAGTGAGTTTAATTATGGGGGTGCAGAGCCAGTGTTTGTCCTGTAGGTAAACATCAGTGCCTTAAATTTAATGGGAGTGGCTTTTGGCAACCAGTGTTAGCTGATGTAGAGAGGAGTGACATACTGTATGTGATAGGGAAACCAATGTTTCCAAATGGCAGAACCTAGTGATGTCATATAGATAGAGAACAGATGTGGTTTAAGCACTGAGCCCTGATTGAATATTGAATATTTCTGTTTGATTCAAGGGCTTAAGTTTCACTGTGTTAATTTTGAGTGCATCATGTTTAACCTTAGGAAATCCTGATGGTCTGTTTGACTTGTTTTAACACACTGGATAATGATCAGAAACCCCACCTTCTTACAACACCTACCAGGAAGAGACTGACTTCTCCTTTCTGTCATACTGACTCTCTCTCTTTACTTCGGAAACCATCATTCAGAAATTGAAACTAAAGTTTTCTGGAGCTCAAACAGTGAAAATGGATTCACTAGCTGAATATGATTATAACTGTCCCGTGTGCTGTGAAATCTTCATGGATCCTGTTGTTTTATCATGTAGTCACAGTGTCTGTAAAGAGTGTCTTCAAAAGTTCTGGAGAACCAAGGAAACTCAAGAGTGTCCTCTCTGCAGAAGAAGGTCCTCAAGAGATGATCCTCCATGTAATCGCGTGTTAAAAAACTTGTGCGAGTCATTTCTGAAGGAGAGAAATGAGAGGCATTCATCAGGATCTGAGGAGATCTGCAGTTTACACAGTGAGAAACTCAAACTGTTCTGTCTGGAGGACAAACAGCCTGTGTGTTTAGTGTGCAGAGATTCACAGAAGCATGACAGTCACAAATTCAGACCAATAAGTGAAGTGGTTTCATCATACAAGGTAACACAAATGTTCCATCTCATGTATAAAGAACAATAAATGGTCATAAAGAGATATCATCGTGTTTGTGTACTTAATATTTTCTTTATATCAGGGGTTCCAATTTCCTGTCCAGTTCTCTTAGCAGTTGGTGTTTTATTTTAATTTTGTTAAATTCTAGGAAGAGCTCAAAACAGCTCTGAAGTCCTTACAAGGGAAACTTAAATACAAAGAAAACATTAAAGGAAAATTTGAAGAAATGGTTCAACACATCATGGTGAGGAAACAGAACAACTTGATTTGTTAAGACATTCAAACATTTAGATTAAAAGAAAATCATGCCAAAACGTTCCCTTTCGTGGAACTTCGAACTGCGTCCTCTAGGGGTCGCTATGGGGAACGCCTCGTCGTGACCCGTGTCTGAAACCTACATTGAAAAAACACCAACTTGTTTGGCCGGCGACAGCCATGACGTCACTACCGTCGCGACTAGTACAAAAAAGGCGCCGGTAGCGCACATCATCACTTTCTTCGTCTTCACTGACCGTTCTGTTTGAAGCGTGCATTCCAAAAGTAAAGTAAGAGCTTTCTTTTCCTACTATGGCGAGCACTAGCGGAGCGTTTAGAAAGTGTGTACATCCGTGTCAGCGGTTTCTGACACCCGATGATTCACAAGCTATACGCGGTTTTTTTTTGGGCGGAGAACACACGCGATGTCTTCGAGGGGGCAATATGCGTGCACTGTGAGAGCTTTTCGCTGAAAAAGCTCCGTTCTCGTTTGTCTCTCTTCTCGAGCGGAGAAGGACAACCATCGGTTTCCCGCGGCTCGGGATCCGCCGCTGCTGAGGCATGGAG